GAGCAGCCTGGGGTGTGGCACCTGGGCTGGGGTCTGTGAGGGCACAGTGACCCTGCCTGGGCTGGGCTGGGCAGTCACAGAGGCTCCCTGGGGCAGCACCTGAGCGTGGCCATTCCCTGACATGGGGTGCTCTTGGCAATTCCCTGAATTCCCCTTGTGCCAGGAATGCCCACAGCCTGCTCCTGAGCACTCCCACCGTGTGCCAGGGCTGCAGCTGGGGCACAGCTGTGGCTGTGCTTAAACTGGTGTCATTGCACTCCTCCAGAGCCTGAGCAGGCCCTGGTGAGGCCCCAGCTGTGCCCCAAGGAGCAAATTCTGCTGGGTGAGCCCAAATCTTCCCTCACCACCTCCCTGGACCTGGGTCTTGGGGGGGTTTATAAACCAAGTTCAATCTTCTGATGCTAAATTCAATTTCATCCAATAACTGTGAAAGCCTGGCAGTGCCTGGGCTGCCCACTCAGGCTCCTGCTCAGTGCCAGGGCAGTGCAGCCCCACAGGGGGAGGTGGGCACGCTCCCAGAGGGTTTGGCTGGGCTCCCCCTGTGCAGCTCCTCCTTGCCAGGGTGTGAGCACGCCAGGACACCCCAGACAGCTCCTCCATGCCAGCAGGGATGAGCCTTGCCCTGGGCCCACAGCTCCTGCCCCAGCCCTGGAGATTCCCCCTCTGCAGCAGGGTCCAGCTCCCTCCTTTGGCTTCAAGCCCCTTTAAAACCGCATTACTGCCCAAACAGGCTCATTGCTCTGTGCTGGAAAGCCAAAATCACACTGAAGGAGCTCCCCAAACCAGTCTGTTCCCAGGACAGCAGTTTCCATGGGCTGACTGTCCCTCTCAGCTCTGGGGTCCCTCCTACACTGCCCCTGTGGCCTTTGGGGAGGAAGGAGCTCTGCCCTGGGCTCATTTCCCTCATCCATCCCCCCAGCTCCTGCAGGGATTGCTCCAGCCCTGGGACTCAGCCTCTGGGCTCTCAGCATGGAAATACCATCCCTGTGCTCAGTGCTTGCTGGCCATCACTGCAGCTCCCATTTTAGGACATATTTTCCCCAAATTGCTGCCTTATTTGGCCTTTCCCCCCGTGGTTCTGGTGACATCACCCAGCAGGCAGTCGGTCCTGGGGCCACCACCCTGAGGGACCCTGTGGGGAGCTGTGGGCAGGGTGGGCTGGGGTCCCTCCCAGGGCATGGCAGGGCTGGGGCTGGAGGGGGCTCTGGCCCTTCCCTTGAGGGGACAGCTGCTCTGGGTGGCACAGGGCAGGGGACAGCACCCTGCCTGCTGCCAGGCTCCGGGGGTATGAGGGTAACCCATGGAGCCTGTCCCTTGTGTCCGTCCCTCCTGTCTGTCTCTGTCACTCCTGTCTGTCCCTCCTGTCTGTCCATTGTGCTGTCCTTTGTGCCTGTCCCTCGTGTCTGTCTCTCCTGTCTGTCCTTCATGTCTGTCCCTCCTGTCTGTGACAGTGACACTGCTCTGTGTCCTGGCTGTCAGTCATAGGAACAGGAGCTCTCCCTCCCACTGGAACTGCCCCAGAGCCCTGCCCTAATCCAGAGCCCTGCCACCAGCAGAGCTCTGCCCCTGCCCACACTCCCATCCTAGAAAAAATGAAGAACCAGCCCCTGGCCCAATAAACCCCCTTGATTTCCCTGCTCTGGAACCTTCACCTTGCCACGTCAGAAATTCCCAGCCCAGCTCATCTCCTTCTGGTGGAACACTGCTACAAAAAAACTTCTGTGCCAGGAGCCAACTGGAAATAAAAAGACTTATTTTGAAAAATCAGATGAAGGGGATATTTCTGGGTTAGGGATATTTCCTGACTGCATAAATGCAAACAAAACAAAACTGACATATTAATGATTCTTCAGAGATAACCCAATTTATTTTGCTACATTTAAGAATGAATCTGAGGCATTCTTTTATCAGAAGTGCTGCTGCCAGCTTGTGCTGGTATTTCTGGGGACAGAATGGCTGAGCGATGCTGAGCTTTGGATGTCCATTGGCTGGACCAGCACAGGGCCTTAATTTTCCAGGGTAAGCTGCTCTGAGAACCAATTCATAATGAGAACCAATTCAGAATGTTATAGGTTATTTTTATTTTTAATTTTCTATACTGTTTATGTGGAAAACCATAACAAAAATCTCTGTCTGAGGCAGGATTCACGAAGCAGCAGCAGGAATTGTGCTCAGCCCTTTGGTAACTCCATGGGGATTGGAGTTCCCTTGACTTCTTGCATCTATTTTTGACATGGAGCCACCCAGATGTTGAAGACATCAGCTGGCCACGCTCGTCCTGCCCTACAGAAAATGAGGAAATGGCTCTTCCATGTGGGAGGGGAAGGAGAAAAGGCCCTGCAGGGGCTGCAGGGGTGCCTGTGGTGCATGGCATCCCCCAAGGGAGATGATCAGCATTGGCTCCATGATCAAGAAGGCTGATCAATCACTTTATCATTCTATACTTGTTAATAAACACCCTGCCCTCACAGGCAGTCTGATACAGGTGGATCCAATTGGTCCTTGAATCCAAACCCATCACCTGTGGCCAATTAAGAAATCACCCTTTGGTAAGCAAATCTCCACAACACATTGCACAACAACAGGGGCAGCAAGTGCAGATAAGAATTATTTCTCATCCTTTTCTCTGAGCTTCTCCCAGCCTGCCCCAGCACAGGGCCTGGGAAAGTTGTGTGTTCTCTCTCTGGCCAGAGAGCTGCTGCCACAGGTACAAGAGTTGCTTAGGTGCTAAGAACATATGAAATAAATTGCATTTTAGGATTAAGGAGGAAAATCTAGGGAGGCTCTGAGACAAATCTGAGGCCATGTGAGAGTTGCAGTGAATTGAAGTGTCTCAGATGTGGTTTCTTTAACCATTTGGAATTTGTTTTCCCAGAACTGGGATCTCTTTTGGAGAGCTGTGACTGGGGCTCACACACACCACTAAACCAGCTGGGGTTCCCCACCCAGCTGCACTGAATGCCAGGAAATGTGGATTACTGTCAGCCTTGCATTTCCACAGGGCTTGGCTGCGTGGTCTCCTCCTTCCAGCTCCTTCCCAGTGGAACAAACACAGGATCCTGAGGGGCCCCAGGACACGGAATGCTGAGGGTGCAGCACTGCAGCTGTTTCTGCTGAGCCAGATGTTCCACAGAGCATTCCTCTGCACCCTGTGGAAAGGCTCAGAGATGGACATTGGACACTGGCTCTGCACAGGACCCAGCCAGCTGAACGAGACACGGGCCAGTGAGTAAAGGTCTCTTTTATGAACCAAGGCCGTTCATGCTTTGCCAAGGCCTTCCCTTGAGATGCCTGAATAAATTCCCTGGATTGACAGGGCCTGCAGAGCAGCCCTGTGAGTGAGAGGGACTCTGCTCAGCTCCTTCCTCCTGGGTGTGCAGCTCTGCATTCACTCGGGCAGGAAAGGTCATTTTTCAAATCCAAGGAAAATAATTTTTCTTTTCTGGTGACTTTACAGGCACTGAACATATTCTGGAAATCTCCAAATCTCCAAGTGGCCTTTAATTAACTAATCTGATAAAGTGACTGTGCCTAATGCTGGGGGGTTTCCCAAAGTCCCTGGGCTCTGGGATGGACCTTCCTGCAGTGGGGAGAGCACAGGGCTGTGGCAGCAGCTCTGGTGGAGAGGAGAGGAGGGATCCTGGAGCCACAGCCTGGGGCTGGCTGGAAAGGACCCTGGAGCTCCTCTTGGTGTGGGGTTACAGCCCCTTTTTTGAGGGGAAAACAGCCCCAGAGCTCTCTCTGTGCTTCCTGCAGCCCCTGTATGCAGCCTGTGCCACAAACTGAAACTGAGCCTTTTGTTCCTCTGCCTGGAACTCCCCAGCCCTTCCTGCAGCTGAGGGGCTGCTGTGGCACAGACACTGCCCAGGTCCTTCTCATGGGGCTGTTCCAGGCCTTGTGGTGCCAAACCACAGCTCCTGGTGAGAGCTGACAGCGAGAGGACAGGACCTGAACCTGGGGGACAAGAGCCAAACTGAGGGGACAGGACCCAAACTGAGGAGACAGGACCCAAATTAAAGGGACAGGACCCAAACCTGGGGGACAGCGTGGTCCCTGCCCGGTGACTCAGGGCGTGCTGCCCAAGGGGACAGGGCTGGGGCACTGGTGCTCTGGGGCTGTGGGAAAAACCCCCATTCTGCCCAGACTGGCAGCCAGGCTCAGGCTCCTCTCTTTGGGCACACAGGGGAGTCCAGCCCGATTTCCCACTGCCAGGACTGGCAAACCATGGCCCCAGCTTTGCCAGCCTTTGCTCAGTGTGCTGACAGGAGCAATGGCAGGCTGAACTGCAGAGGGGCACAGCTGGATGGGCACAGCTGGATAAGAACAGCTGAATAAGAGCAGCTGCATAGGAGCAGCCTTCCTCTCCCCCCTGCCAGCCAGGGCTACTGAGGGCCAGCAGAGCCCCAGGAATATTCAGAGCACAGATCACCCTCAGGCTCCTTCTCTATTTTTGAGACAGAAAACACCAGTATTTGCAGAGCCACTCTTGTAATTCTGTGCCTGACCAGCCTGATTGTTTTTCTCCTCAGCCCTCGCTGGCCCTGTGCTGTGGGCAGTGCTCAGGCACTCCTGGTGCAGGTATTCAGATATTCAGATATCCCAGTGTGTTCTGTTTGAATCCCAGGGCTGGTGTCAGCCCCGAGCCATGGGAGGGGAGCCAGGCAGTGCCTCCAGGCTGGGGAGGGCTGGGGCACAGCCAGGGCCCAGCTCTGCAGCTGTGTGTTAACACTGAGCTGAGCAGCGCTGGTTGTATTTTAACACTGTCCAAATATTAACTCTGCCCAGAGGATGCGGAGGTGTTTCCTTGACATGGCAGCATCCGGAGCAGGAGCTGCCAGACACAGACAGCATCTGCTCACAGCTCCTTGGAGCAGCCCTGGCTCTCAGAGAGAGGACAGGCAGGGGCAGAGAAAGGGGAGAAGAGAAGAGAAGAGAGAGAAGAGAAGAAGCAGGCAGAACAGAAAAGACAGGCAGCAAAGGCAAGGCAGCAAAGGCAAGGCAGCACAGCCCCTGGGACAGGGGAATTCACAGGACAGGCTCCTGCTGCCACCCCTGGGCCGGGCACTGACACAGGGCACTGACACAGGGCACTGTGAGCTGGCCCTGCACCAATCTTTCTCTGGAGCCACGTTAAACACAGTTCCCGTTGTTCCTGGTTTGCTCCAGGTGATGTTAGCATTTTTTTGTATAATTTTTTGAAATCAGGCAACAATCTACAAAACCCTCACTGTGGAGAGGGTGATTTTTTGGTGATTTGGCTGAAGAAAGGGAGTTGAAAAATAAACTCAAGCTCAAATTAGGTTTATATAAACATAACCTCACTTTTTACAGAAGAACACCCAGCCACAGGGGCTTTCTTTAGCTCTGCCCTGAAGCAGCAGCTGCTGCAGGTCTCAGGAAGTTTCCACTGAAATGCACCCTCTCTTCATGAATAGTTGCTTTTTCACCTCTGCATTTTTCTCTCTGGGGCTTTTAAGCAAGTTTTATTGTAGTGTTTATACAGCCAACTCACTCTGCCTTAGTTTATGTTTTTCTCGCCCGCAGCCACTGAATTTTGAGGTTTATTAGTTCCAGGTATCTGAAATCACATCTTTTTAGAATTGACTGTGTAATAAAGCCCCTTAAAAGTTTCTGTTTAAGGCGATTGTCCTCCACCCCGGGATCAGGTTCTTACTGAGTTTTACCCAGGATCAACAACTTCTTTCTGGCTGTTTGTTACAGCCAGGCAGGTAACAGGGATCCCTTCCATTCCAATCAGTCAGGTCTGCATCATTCACTGGGGAGGCACCCAGGCAAAGAGCTGCCTTTGGACACAAGCTGTGCGGGAGAAGGCTGATGGTTCTGGCTGGAATGGTGCAGAGCAGAGCCTGAGCAGCACCAGGGCAGCCCCAGCCTGGGCTCTGCTCTCACCCCAAGCCAGGCTCTGCAGGGACACAGCCACTGCAGTTCCCCTCACACAGGGAATTTCTGCACAGTTCCAGAAGCATTTAACTCAGAGGTTCAAATCCTCTCCCTAGCTTAACTCAAACCATCTCCCACGACTAACTACGCTCTCTTAATCAATCTCATCATAGCCCTCTCCTATGCCCTCCCAATCTTAATTGCAGTAGCCTTCCTCACGCTAGTAGAGTGCAAAATTTCTTCAAAAAAAGGGGGACCACAGATGAGACAGCACTGCAAATATTTGCAGATTCAGAGCAGTTAACTCTGAAAAACTTCAGCTTGCAAAGCATTTGCTGAAATGTGGCTTCTACCCAGGCAGAGGTTATTTCTCTGTAGGGAGGCTCTGCCCTCCCTCTCTCCCACCCCTGCTCGTGGCTGGGTCAGCACTGGGGGAGCAGGTGAAGGGGTTTTATATCCAAAATACTTTATTTAAAGTTTTAAGAACATTCAAATGTACTGTCAGTTGTACTTAGAACAACTACACAGAACTCTTGAGTTTAAACTGGAGCTGGACGCTCCCACAGGAGGCACAAATTCCCTGTGCTGGCTGCCCTGGCCATGCCAGGGCAGGAAGGGCTCTGTCCCTCTGCAGCCCCCCAGTTAAAATGCTGTCCTTGCTGGGGAGGATCAGCCCGTGGCCACCCTGAATTTCATCTCCAGTATCAGCACTAAAGGCTCCCATATGTTCTGAGCTGTTGGATGCATTAATTTCACGCTTTTGCTCCCGACACTGGAGAGGCACAGGATTTTGTTAAGCTGTTTAATTGCAGTAAATTTCTTTAGCAGACAGTATTTTATGAGCTGCAGAAATACCTGCAGGGCTTGAGCAGGTGCCAGCAGTCCCAAAGCCTGAAGGCAGTAAGTGTGTGCTGGAGCAGGGACTTCACAAATTACAATTTCTAGATCACAAAATCACAGCTCAGAACATGCTGCACTGGGCTGCCACCGCCATGCCTTGTCCACAGCCCCTCTGCAGCTCTCATGGAGCCCTGTGGGTCTGGAAGGGATCTACAAGGTCTCCATGGAGTCTTTCATTATGAATAAAGTAAAAGTGACCCCCGTCCTGTCAGAGACACCCAGGGCTGTCCCCAAAGCCCTGCTCTGCTCCCAAAGCCCTGCTCTGCCCCCAAAGCCCTGCTCTCCCTGTGCCTCTGCTCTGACATTTGCCCAGGCTCCCACCTGCATTCCTCTGCAGCCTGGCACCACCTCTTCTCCATGCCACCCCCTGAGGCTGGCTGGCTTTTAGCCCTGCCTGGGCTGGAGGGATCCCCTTTCCCCCAGAGCTCCCCAGGCAGGGACAGGGGAGGGTTACCCCCAAACCAGGGCTCTGCTGAAAATCCCAGCTCTGAAATGCTCGTGTGTCCATGTGGGTCCCCAAACGCAGCAGGAGTGCCTCCCACGGGGCTGGCAGAGAGCTCAGCCCTGTCTGCCCCTCAAACCCTGGCCCTGCTCCCTCCCCTGGCTCCTGTGGGACCCCAGTGTCCCCAGCGGGACCCCAATGTGCCCAGCAGGACCCCAATGTGCCCAGCGGGACCCCAGTATCCCCAGTGCTCCCCATGCAGGAAGGTACAGCTGCCTGGCACCTGGAAGGGTCACTGAGGTATTGCAGGGAAGAAGGGTCACTGCAGCATCCCAGGGACAGACACACACACACACACACACACACACACTGTGCCCCCCAGCACAGCTGATAAAGCTGTTTTCCACAACATTCTTTACATTCCAGTCCCAGGGTGGCAGCTCCAGGGGCTGAGTCAGCCAGTGACCAGCAGAGCCTGCCCTGCCCTCTTACCAGGGTGAGCCCCTTGCCCTCTGTGCCCACTCCTTGGTTTATTTTGTCGCACAGGACAAAGCCCCAGCTGCGTGTGGCAATTTTACACCATTGCTTTCAGCAAGCTGATCACATTCCTCCAACCCACTGCCTTGGCACAGTGGCAGCAGCCTGTTAGCCTAATTCCAGTAAGGATTTAAAAACCACAAACACCCCTTGTTTTTGACCACAACTGTAGGTTTAGTATGCCAGAAGTTACTGCTGAGATGTGTTATTTCCAAAAGACTGTTGCAAGATCTTAGTCATAAGAAGGTTGGACAGACTTGACAAAAGCCAGCAGAGCCCAGCCCCTCCTTTGCTTTCCTCTCCAGGTGCTCCTGGCAGGTACACGTGGGCACAAGGGCTCCCTGGCAGATCCAAGAGGGCCCCAAGGAAACACCTTCCTCACGCTGTGCTGGATGCCAGGGCACAGGAGTTGCTTGCAAGTGAACAGTCAGACTCTTAAATCTGGTAACCTTCCCCTTGTGCTGTGTTTCCTGATGCCCCCAGTCCAGGTGGGAGCCCCTCTGGCCCTGCTCAGGCCCTGCTCTGGCTGCAGGTGCTGCACAGCAAGCTGGCATTGGCCAGGGTGAAGGGTTTGCCTGTCAGCAGCGTCTCACACTCCAGGCAGGCAAAGTGCTTGTGGTGCCAGGCCAGCCCTTCCACCTGCTGGTAGTCCTCTGAGAAGATGATCTACGGGACAGACAGACAGACAGACAGACAGACAGACAACTCATTTCCACCACCCCACCAAGCTGGAGCATGGCAGGAGCAGGGAGAGCCACCCCACAGCTCCCACCAAACCCATCAGCCATGGAGCTCAGGAATGGGTACACAGAATAATCCCAGGATGGTCTGGGCTGGAGGGGACCTGTAAAGGTCATCTTGTCCCACCCCTGTGCCCGGGACAGGGATACTTTCCCCTTGGTCACCTTGTCCCACCCCCGTGCCCAGGACAGGGACACCTTCCCCTGGCCCAGGCTGCTCAGATGCCCTGGCTGAGCCTGGCACTGGCAGGAGCAGAGGGCCACTGGTGGCTCCCACCCCGCACAGGGGGATCAGAGGGTCTGCAGCTGGTCCCCACCTGGCACAGGGGATCCCATTTGCTCAGGTCCCTCCCCCCAGGCACAGGTGATCCCACGGGCTCAGGTCACTCTCCCCTGGCACAGGGGATCCCAAGGACTCAGGTCAGTCTCTGCCCTGGCACAGGGGATCCCAGGGGCTCCGGTCACTCTCTGCTCGGGCCCAGGGCATCCCATTCGCCCAGGTCCCTCTCCCCTGGCACAGGGGATCCCAGGGGCTCTGGCTGTTCCCCACCCTGGCACAGGGGATCCCAGGGGCTCTGGTCATTCCCCACCAGGAGATCCCATTCGCCCAGGTCCCTCTCCCCTGGCAAAGGGGATCCCAGGGGCTCTGATCATTCCCCACCAGGAGATCCCATTCGCCCAGGTCCCTGCCCCGGCCCAGGGCTCCATCCCAGTCCGTACCTCGTCGCAGCCGGCGCAGCGGGGCCGCAGGCTCTCGCAGTAGTGGCGCCCGCACCAGGCGGCCCCGCTCCTCCAGAAGTAGATGAGGTCCACGAGGGGCTCGGCGCAGCGGCAGCACACGAAGCAGGCGGGGTGCCACAGGCGGGAGTAGCCGGCGCGCTCGGCGTACACCACGGGGCAGTCCCCGGGCACGGGCTGCTGGCACGCCTCGCAGCGCTGCGAGGAGGGGTGGGGGTCAGCGTGGGCAGGGGGATGCCCACCCTGCTGGGCAGCTCATTCTGAGCGGCCTCTGGGACCCTCCCAAACCAGCACCTCCAACAAAATACAAACGTTCTCCCAGAAGAAGTTAAGAATTCCCATAGTGCAGCACATCAGAGATGTAAATTTGAAAAGAGATCAGGAACTTTGGTTTTTTCCCCACTGTTTTCTGTCTGTGCCTAACTCAGCTGTCACTCCACAGATTTCATCAAGTGTTTTCTATTTCTAACAGGCCAAAGAGCCAGAATTAGATGTGATTAATCTCAAGATTAATGGCATCCATGCACATTAGACACCAAACCAAGTAGGTCTGCTCTTTATCTGTGCCTACAGAGCAATCCTGTGATTAGTGAAGAGCCAGCCTTAAAGCTCCACTCGGAGGCTGGCAGGATGTTGCTCCAGCTCCCACTGAAGCTGGGAGCAGCCTGTGTGTCACAGGGGCTGTGGCTGCACTGCTGTGCCCCACCAGAGCCCTGGCACAGCAGTGTCCCCTCCAGGTGGCACAGGGGCAGGGGCTGGCAATGGCCCTGTGGTCAGATGACAAGTAAAACCACCCCAATTGAAGTCAACGGCTTCTAAAAGGTACAATGACAGAACCACAGAATGGTTTGAGTTGGGTTCTCCCAGGCTCTGCACCCATCACACCAGACCCAGGCCTTTTCCAATGCCCCCAACACCTCCCCGAGGCCCCAGATTTGGGGTCAGCCCAGAGCCAGACCCCACAGCTGCCTCTGCCCTGCCAGCCCCAAGGGCCACAGCCCCAGCAGCCAGCCCTGCTATCTTGCAGGATCTAAAGCAAGAACAAACACTGCAGCTTCCAGCGCTGAGCTCAAGTTTCTTGCCAGCAAGAACTGTTAAAAAAAAACCAACTTATTTTGCTGTTTCTTTCTATGGAAATTATTCACAGGGAAAATCTATTCACAGGGCTTTTCCCAAGCATTGTATAACCTCCACATCCTGCTATTTACACACTACAAAGAGGTGATCCTTCAAGTTTGAGGTGGGATTACAGCTTGGTGCTCCTACATCTCCATCATGCGGGCAGAGGAGTGAACACTTTATTAGCTGAGGTGTTGGCCAAGAAAGTGTCCTGTTCTCTTGGCTTTCCCACCCTGCTCATGCCCAGCTCCTGCTCTGCAGTGCCAGCTCCCAGGGAAGGAGCCCCCAGACACCACCAGCACTCTGAGCTCTCCCTGCATTGCTGGCCTCAGGCTTTTGGGAACAGTGATTGATTTGGATCAATTGCCTCAGGATTGGATTTGATTCCAGGGCAGGAATCAAACCTTTAACACCGGAGGAGTTCCCGGTTGTGGGGGTCAGGATTCTGAGCTCTGTGAGAGCACCCATCCCGTGGGACAGACTTGCAGCAGGGATGTGGAGGCACATGGGGTCAGTGTCCCCAGTCCTCCCCGGCTCTGCCATGCCTGGGCTGCACAGCCTGGCTGTCCCAGAGGATCTGCCACTGCTCTGAAAGCTGCTCCATTTTTCAGCTCGTGCCTTGAGAGAAATGATGCTTCAAACTAAGGAGAATAACATCACAGTTATGTATTTATTTATTTGAAAGGACAAACTCGCAGTTTAAGTAAACCTTCATTGCTAGGATGACTTATTGATGTGTTTAAAGGAAACCTTCCTTTTTTGGCTATTTTTTATCTTAAAATTCAGTGTTTTGTTGCAATAGTGAAAATCCTTACCGTGCCATTGGATTCAAAGTCAGCAGTACGCTAAGAGACCATGGCAGAGGGGAGACATTACCCAATATGGACTGAAAATGAAAACTGCTCTTTCATGTACAACCTCAGTACAGGAATGGCAGGAAGGAATCTCCTCTTAAAACCACTTGGACACCATTTGCTTTTTCAGCTTTAAATCCTCTGCTGCAAGTCACCCTCACAAGGACCAGGACAAGGTATTTCCACTCACCATATTTTATGATAAGCATCTGCTCAGCAGCACTCCAGACAGCGCTGGGGGGATATAAATCTAAAAGGGTGTTGAGGAATCTCAGCCATTTCTCTGTGCAAATGTATTTGTGTGCCCAGGGACCCAGGGCAGCTGTTTCCATTTCCTCAGAGTGATTACAGCCCTGGGAACACCATCTCCATGTTCACAGTTCTGTGCTAACTGGACAGAGCCCTCACCTCCTGCCATCTGAGGTCTTATGGGGTAAGAAGCCTACTTGGAAATACTGACTTGCATCACAGAATGGTGAAGGTTGGAAAAGACCTCCAAGATCATCAAGTTCAGCTTTCAACTGAAACGCTGCCCACATCACCCAGGAACGTGTCATGCCCAACCTTTCAACCTGCCAAGAACCCAGAGCTCAAACCAGCTCCCACAGTGACATTTCCCTGACCTTGGTGGCCCAGCAAGGCCTTTGCTGCAGAGAAAGGAAATGAAGAAGAGGAGAACGCCCCTCATCAGCCCTGCCAATGGACCCCTGTGCTCAGCAGGGCTGGCTGGAGCAGAGGAGCCCTCCAGGCCCTCACAGTGCTGCTCCAAAGCATTGTGATGTGACCAGGCCTGCAGCAGGCACGAGGAATGCCCTGGGAGCAGGATGGGGACAAGGCACAGATCACCCTGCTGGCTGTGAGGTTTTGCCCCTGGAGTGGAGACCAAATCT